GCTCATCAGCAATCAGTCACTATTCACAGCTCTTCAATTACTTTTATTAAATAGCAATCCTTTCCTCCCCCAGTCAGCAAATTATTCAGGTTTGGGAAAGAGTAGTATCTCTTCAGAGAGTGCTTGCCCCGGGCCAGATGAAATGTAGTCATGCTGCTACAAGACTCAAAATGAATCATGGACTCTTGAGTCAAACTTTAACTGTTGTATGGTTTCTGGGGAAGGTGAAGGCATGCCAGCCACCTTTGGATTAATTTAGGCTTTGATGATTTTGAAGAGCGAACATTGAAAAGATTATTAAATTGTGTACAGTGATATCCTGGCTAATTGTGTGAATGCCTTTTTAGTTTAGGATGTGTAAATGCAAGATGCCTGTGAGTCTTTGCTTTTGTGTTTATGAACTAGAATAAAATTCGCACCCAGATATAATTGTAGCATAGATTACCATGAACCTGGTGAGCACAGTGGTGTTCTCTTCCTTTTAAGATTTCTGAGAGTAGTCCATTATCTTTGGAGGAAGTTCAAGAACGAGTCTCTTCAGATTGACATATCTTTACACATTAGATTTAATATTGAAAAGTTTTAGGTAGGATAACTATTTTAAATATTGAGTCATCTTTTTCCATCCTAGAGAAATTCATTCTCAAGTGAAAAAATGCATTGGTTATTTTCTAATGAAAATTAAACTTTAAAATACTAGCCTTTTTCAGTGAGTACTCTGCACTTATCAATGTATGGAATACAATACTCCGTACAAGTAGTCAAGTGGATCCAGGATATTGTACATACAATTTAAAACAAATAGTTATTTCCGTTATTGAGGGTTCTTCCTCAATGTGTGAGACTTGAATGTTTAAGCAGCCACATCATTTGTGGCATCGTGTCTTGCCTTTAGTGATATTGCCTGGGGAGTAGAGCCATAAAACATTGTCCTTTTATTGAGATTTATTGAACTTCAGTCTTCTGTGGTCAAAGTAGGACTTCATATAGATCAATACAAACTTTAAAAAAATGAATGTGCTCAAAAGCAGTGCTGGCCTTGAAATAGAGCAATAGCTGTGTGTTTTGTTTAAACTGTTCTACCCTGCCTCTCTTTTTAAACAATTGAGACACCCAATTCAATTTGCTTTTTGAATCCTGTAAAAGGCAACTAGACTCCCCTTATACTTTAGAACTGGAAAGTATGAGCAATGATGCATTGATTCACTAGCCAAGGACATGTAGTGGTGTTAAATATTTTGCTGGGTTAGTCAGATTCTAAAAGCAAGAGTTTAAGAAAAAATTCCATAGACTTAAAGTTATCCTAGTAAATCCTTTAAATCACCCACAAGGTAGTATGTGTAGTTTTGTGTGTATCACTCTGAGCAATAATTCTTATGCACAACATAGTCTGAGAACTACTGAGCTAGTATAAAGGAAGGAACAAAAGAGAAGCTGTCTGGGCACTCAACCCATTCTTTCTTTATGGTAACTACCCAGTCCATGGAGAAATGGAGAGTTCTATAGAGTGTCTGCTTGCCTGCAGGATTTATTCCATTCTGCTGTAAGATTAAGCCTCTATAATCTTCAGACACATTAAAAGATTGATTTGGTTTTGTAAGGATTGAATTAGACAGTATATGTGAAAGCACCTTGCTTAGGAGCTGGTAATGGGAAGCAGTTAAATCTAAATGTTGCTTGTCATATCCACACATACATTGTTCTTTGGAAAGTTGTAGAAAAGAATCTGGCCACCTGTTTTTTGACCTTCTAGTTGGGATTTTTCCACTATCCAGCAGGGTCTTACATGTTTTTGCAAATTGGCTCTATCTGCAAATCAGCTGGAGGTTGGAATGGGTAGGGTTTTCAGTTCTAAGGTCAGCTCTACATTTGTTGTATATGTAACTCAGATAATAGTATATATTTCTTTGGGTTCTGTGATGGCTCATCTGTCTTCTAGAGTTCACAATTGTGTATGTGAATTACCTGATAGAATTGTGTAACCCACCTACCTAGACTCTCCATGGTGGAGTCATGAACATGTGTTTAAAAATTTTTTTACTATCTATATTTTGGGGGTACATGTGAATGTGAATTTTGAGGGAGCTGCCTATGTGATTCTTACGTAAGCAGGGTGTTGCTTTTGGAACATAGCCATCAGAAAAACCCCGGAGGTGGAGTATTTTGCCACAAGAGACAATATTAGCATTTCTGATCCTGTGTTAGCTTAGATTATTAGGAAATGCCTACTGTATTATTCATTTAGATTTAAAAATATATAACCAGTTAATTACATAAATTATCAGACAAATCATAAGATTGGTAGATAAAATTTAGTAGATAAAATTAATATTCTCAATTTGACATATTTTTTTAATTGAATACAAATTAAGTAGCTTATTTTGGGGGGTGCTGTGGATTTTTATTTTTACTGCAGCATATCACTGACGTGATCACCTGAAGTTTTGTTTGTTTGTTTTTAATAACTTGGTTTAACAACTTTTAAAATTTTTTATTATGGACATCTAATGGTTGTACATATATAGAGGGTGCCTGTGACATTTTGATATAAGCATACTACATATAATGCTTAAATTAGTAACCTCAGTTTTAGCTAACTGCAGTGGTCCCAGCAGTGCTTGTAGTCCTAGCTACTTGGAAAGCTGAGATAGGAGGATTGCTTGAGCCCAGGAGTTCTGGTCCAGCCTGGAAAACATAGTGGACCCCATCCTTAAAAACAACACTACCACTACTACTGCTAATAATAATCTGGGTTTTGAATTTTTTTTTTTTTCATTTTGAAGGGAACTTTGGATTTTTCATAATTTAAGTCCAAATTTTTACTGAAAATTTAGTTTGAAAAGGAAATAAGCATTTTATCTCTGATTTATTAAGTTGGGAGCCCTTTTAATGTTAAGTTTGCTGTACCCCACTAACTGTTACTGTTTTTACTTTCCTTTTCTCATGTACAAAGTGTTTTCTTTACTTTCATATGCATGGTCCTACCCATTCTGCCTTTTCTTGGATTGTATCTCATCAGTTATGTTCCTGTTCTTTATCCTTAATCTCTTTCTTTCCCCTTACATCTTTTCCTCAATTTAGATACAAAATATGTCATCCCTACTAAACAACCAACCTTTTGTCTACCTTGCTACTTCTTCAGTCTATTATTTGTTCTTTTTGCTTCCCTATTCTAACCAGCGTTCTTGAAAGATTAACTGTGATTTCTGCATCCACATCTTGGCCTTTTGCAGTTTGGCTTCTACTCTCACCACTCCACTGGAACTCCACTTTCAAGGAGTCACCAGTAACTTCTCACTTTTCAAATCTAGCAGTCTTTTCTAAGCTCTCATCCTTTTTGGCCTTTTTGCAGTAAGTGAGGATCACACTCTTCTTCTTGACATATCTCTTCTGTTAGCTTATGTGACTCTTCAGACTTCATTTTCCAACCTCTATGACTGCCTCTTTTCTTTCTTTGCTGAATCATCCTCTGCTTTTGATATGTTAATGTATTTATTAACATGTTATTTTGCTTTTGCTGTCCTTCTTACCTTTTGAGCATTCTTTCTTCATTTCAGGTCCAGAAGCTAGGAAAGGTCAGGCATGGTGGCTCACACCTGTAATCCCAGCACTTTGGGAGGCTGAGGTGGGTGGATCACCTGAGGCCAGGAGTTCGAGACCAGCCTGGCCAACATGGTAAAACCCTGTCTCTACCAAAATACAAAAATTAGCCAGGTGTGGTGGTGCATGCCTGTAGTCCCAGCTACTCCATTGGCTGAGGCAGGAGAATTTCGGAGTGGAGAAGGAGGAGGTTGCAGTGAGCTGAGATCATACCACTCCCCTCCAGCCTGGGCAGTAGAGGTAGACTTCATCTCAAAAAACAAAACAAAACACAAAAGCTAGGGACAGATCCTCTGGGGAATTCTTGGGCTGAGCTGAATCCACAAGGAACTTACCCTAAGATAGCCCAAGGGAGAATAGGATGGAGAGCCAATATTGTAGTCAGAAAAGATGGCGCCTGAATCTATCATGTCTGAAATGTAAGGGTGAAAAATCAGAGAGTAGGCAGCAGATTGGCAGTTTGGATGATGAAAAACAGGATCAATGAATGGGTCAAGAACAGGAATATGTATTTACTCCAGATCACATTCGATGTAAGAGCTTGATGTATGTGTTACTAGGGACATGGTATCTTAAAGGAATCACACTAGGGCTTTGGCTTTAATAATCATTTCTCTGGAGAAGGACTTTAAATCTGTAAGTGAAGTCCCATTACATTCTCTTCTTCCTCTTAGTTTCACCTGGCTGTCCAACTGGTACCCTAAGTTTAACATATCCCAAATCAAATTAATCATCTTTCTCTTGAAATTGACTTTTCTGAGGTCCTAATGTATCACTGTTCTATGTCATTCTAGATTTTAAAAAAAATCAAAGGCATCTTTGATTCTCCTTTTATCCCTACACCCAGCAATTTGAAAAAGTGTTGTCAGTATTGTCTTTATGTTGTCTTGTAATTGGCATCACCTTTTGTTTCCTTGTGCTTCACCCTGACTACTACCCGACACTCTTGCAGTAGCCCCTATTTAGTGTTCCTATCCTAGTCATTGCTGCCAGTGTGAGCAAAATGCAACTGTGAATTTAAAAGGTACTTTAAACTTAACACAACATTCCTAGCCAGAGATAATAGGTTCCCATCAATGTTCTTATAGCACTTATGCTTTCTACCATTTGTGTATGTAATTACTGTGATTTATTTTATATATATATATATATATATATATTTGTACATGAATTGCCAATCCCCATAGATTGGAAGCTCCTTCGGGGGCAGGAACTGTGCTTTGGTTGTCTTAATATCCCCGTGTATTTCTTGTATTGACATACAACAAATATTTGCTGACTAGAATTAAACAGTTAGCTAGGCTACAAGGAATCTGATCCCAGTTAATAGTAGATGATCTGTGATGGTCATTTTAATATGACATTAATTTCATTTTTTACATTTGTTTTATTCTGAAAAGCTTTTTTATTAAGCTGTGCTGATGGCATAAATGGAACAGTTAACTGGAAGACCAGACAGGCCACCAATTTTATTATCAGCAGAAAAATGGTTGCTGGGATGAAAGATGGTGAGTTTAGGTTGTAAATCTAAATCCCTTTGGGGGAGCCAATTAAATGTCTGCTTCCATTTGTGGCTTTTTTTTTTTTTTTTTTTTTTAGTAAGTCAGTCTGAAAAAATAAAATTTTGTTTTCCTAATCTTCTAAAACTTCTGATCCTCTGTGTTCTTAATCCATTATTTTTCAAGTTCTTTTCCTTGGCTATAGCTTTGCCCTTTTTAAAGAAAAACTAAAAACCATTCCTATGTTTTTAACCAACCCTTTATCCAGTCACTAGCTTGCCACTTAAAAAAATTGTCCTACTGTGGTTACTGTAACAAGTTATTTATAATATTGAAAATATTAAGAAGTACATTCAACATGTATCATTTAAAATAGCATGTATGTAACCTTGGAAAAATATTCATAAAATATTTTCGCTAATTTTGGATGATTCTTGCTGCAAAACTAAATTGATATGTTTTGCTATTAAATACTTAGTTGGTACTTGTTTTCTATTGGAAAGACGACTTGATCTGTAAATGATTGATTGATTCTTCTAAATTTTTCTTCTGTATCTATAAATATGTCCATCAGCAATATTCCAGTACCTTTGAAATAATACATTTTATTAGGAAGAAAAGGCATTACTTAATTCAAAATATTAGTCGTTTTCAAAATATCAATTAATATTATGAACTTGCACTAATATTTCTTGTTTTTTTGGCTTGATGATCCTTCACATAAAATATTAGCTACATGTGTTTGTGAACATTTTCAGAATAATAGAGTAGTTTCTCTAACTTGGGAGCAACAAAAATGGCTATAAAAATAATAGTAATGTGCTGGGCATGGTGGCTCATGCTTATAATCTTAGCACTTTGGGAGGTCGAGGTGGGGGTGGATCACGAGGTCAGGAGTTTCAGACCAGCCTGGCCAACATGGTTAAACCCCATCTCTAATAAAATACAAAAATTAGCTGGGCGTGGTGGCGGGCACCTGTAATTCCAGCTACTCAGGAGGCTGAGGCATGAGAATTGCTTGAACCCTGGAGGTAGAGGTTGCAGTGAGCTGAGATTGTACCATTGCACTCCAGTCTGAGTGACAGAGCTAGACTCTGTCTCAAAAAAAAGTAGTAATAATAGTAATATTAAAATGTTTTCAAAAGAACAGTAATTTTATGTGATAAGATGATAATGCCAGATGAAACCTGCTGGGTACTTGTAGGAGTGATTCCTGGCTTACTTCATTTTCTTCATACATCTCTGAAGTTGGGCATCAATAACTTTTTTACAGCTGGAACCAAATTATTCTTCAGCTGGACTCTTCTACCCCGAGATCTCTTTCACAGTGGGACCAAGTTTCCCAACATCTTTTCTTCCCAACTGACTTTGAAACAGACCTATAAACACCTGTGTATTTTTAAGGAATTTTCATTACTAAGACCTGTAAGAAAATATAGAGTTTCATAAAAATAACTTCCCATGAAAAGATCACAAAAATTTGTTTTAAGATGCACTTGTTCCAGGACACAGGCCCATGGTCTCATAGTTCTTTCCCCCACATTCTCTTTAGATACTGCCATCAGATTCTCCCTGATTATCCTTATCTGGCTGATTTCGCAAGCTGAGGGCCATCGGCTTCTTTGACACAGTTACTTTTCCTTTTTTCTAATCTCTTTTCTAGTTATGGGTCCCCGGTGTCCTTCACTGTTGCAATCTGCACTGTGCTTCTGCTCTGTCATCTCCAAAGGATTTGGGACATGCCCTGGCTCCTTATGCTTCGCTTAGGATCCCTGAAGACTCTTCCTCTAGACTTTACATCTTTTTTCACTAGATTGCAATCATCCCTTTTCTTCAGACTTTTCTCTTTAACTTTGATTCCTGGAATTTCTGTCCTCTCTGAGGTCCTCCTCTTGCTGTTTGATTTGCCAAAGAAAAAAAGCCACTCTCTCACCAGCTGCTAGACTCAGCAGAGTCATCTATTATGGTGCTGTTCTTAGGGAAACGCATTTCAAGACCTTGACATATAGTATCATCTAGAATATCTAAGAGATGCCAGTCTCTTCCTGTTTCAAAATTCATAGTGTCATTGAACCTCACACTGATTTTTTCCTTGGGACCTGAGAGATAACTATAGTTTTCAGAATAGAAATGATCACCCCATCTTGAATCTACTGAGGTAACGAGTTTAGGCTATCATGTTCTCTTATTTCCTCAGTTTAGCTTGATCTCATCCTTTATATTATTTTCCTTTCTTCTCATCCTATTTATATCCTATCATTATAGCTCTGAATTATCAAGATACCTTATACAGAAAATACATTTTTTCAACTGTATGAGGAGAATTGTTTCATCACTTTTAAAATTATAATTACAAATACTAGTAGCTTGTATGGCAAGGCCGTTTTAAATACTGTCTCAGATATAGAACGTTCTCTGAGATGTTCTTGACCATGAATCCCAGTTGTCTCTTTTTGAAAATTTCAAGAAAGCACAAAAGATGATAGGAGCATTTATATATAAAATAAATCTCACAAATGTATGTTTTGTATAGCTTTCTTTTTTTTGAGATGGAGTTTTGCTCTTGTTGCCCAGGCTGGAGTGCAATGGCGACATGTTAGCTCTCTGCAACCTCCGCCTCCCAGGTTCAAGCAATTCTCCTGCCTCAGCCTCCCAAGTAGCTGGGATTACAGGTGCCCACCACCACGCCTAGCTAATTTTTTTGTATTTTTAGTAGAGATGGATTTTCAACATGTTGGCCAGTCTGGTTTTGAACTCCTGACCTCAGGTGATCTGCCTGCCTTGGCCTCCCAATGTGCTGGGATTGCAGGCATAAGCCACCATGTCCAGCAAATATTTCAATTCTTAGCTAAAGCGGTAGGATGATACTTCTTCTGTAAATTCCTTCTGAGGAATTCGAATACCTTAGAACAACATTTCTGACATCATACTACCTCAGCACCCAGTAAGTTGTTAGAAAAGTCATAAAGAATACTCCAAATATGAACTATGGAATCCCTTTTTTTTTCCTGGAATAGGAGTAGAAGACTCACTTGAGCAAGCTGAGGGCTGTCAACTTCTTTGACATACCCACTCTTCTTTTTTTTCTAATCTTTTTTCTAGTTATGGGTCCTATAGGCTTGAAGCAGTCACTTAGTCCCTCTGGGTTCAATTTAGTCATCAGTAAAATGGACTGAACTCTCCTGAAGAGCAAATTCAGGCAAACTCTGTTAGTAACTGTCAGGAATCCTGGGTTGAGTAGGAAGCAGAGGCCATATGGAGGTAGGAAGTAATATGATCTGTCTCTTAATAAATAAATATATTTGGCATGTTCAGACAGGATGACATACAAAACTCTTTTCAATGTAGCATTGTATGGCACTAAGCTTATTGGTCACCAATTAACAGTGGTTTGCAACCTCTTTCCAATTGACGTTTTAAAAAAACACACATGAAATCATATAAAAATCAAGATGTTTTGTTCCAGTTTGGAAAAATTAAAAGTAAATGGTTTTAGTTGGAAAAAAAATCTCCTGAAGAAACTCTTGCTTTTTGTAGAAGATTCAAGTAATGGTTTCCTCTCCTACTTCATGTAAAGAAAAGTGGCCATATCTCTAAGAGAAATGAGGTTCACAAAGACCCTGTAATGCCTTCCCAGTGATGAATTCCACAGCCAAGGCATGGACTACCTGTGACTGAAACAAAAACAATAGCTGTCGGCTGCCGAATGAATGGCCTGCAGTACTTTGATGTTGAGTGAATTCAAAGGTGGAGGGCAGACTACTGAGAAAAGCCTTTGATTCAAAGCCAAGATTCACAAAGTTGTATTGGTAAAATACAAGGTAAATCTTAGTGAGAAAAACAAAAACAAAAACAGGTTGTGTAACTGGCTGGATATTCATATCTCTTAAAATATTTCTCTGCAGTAATTATGTGGCTTAATAATTAAATTTCAATTTGACTGTATTAACAACATGTTAAAAAATAAATTAGAAAGGAATCCATAAATGTATCAGGCTATGCAAACCTTAAAATGAGTTCTTTTGATGCAGAGACAGCAAGTGAGATTTACCTATTGTAATCAATTCATGTGTATAGAGTCTCAAAGAGTTTTTAGATGTTAAAACTGTAAAATAAAAGAAGTATTATTTTTGTCAGTACTTAACATTTTTAATTATCAGGGATGATCATACCTAGTTGCTTAGGTAACAATTTATTTTAAAAGATACAGCAGATAGGTGGCTATTCAGTAGTCTCTTTATAGCCTAAACATATCTTAAAACCTTCTTAATCATTGTTATTCAAAATATTTTTTTAGATAATACATACTGTTAAGGCAATATTTAAACTAAGTTCAAATTAGTTAAACAACTAATTTCTCAGCTGTTAAATATATACTATCATATTTAAGTAATTTGAACTCAGTTAAAATACTTTTTCAACGCTTCCCAATGAATAGCTTCTGTCCTCAAACTCTTTATGTGAGAAGCAAATTGACAAAAATTGAAGTTCTTTTAGAAATAGACTTTAATTGCTTATTAAGAAATTACTTATTAATTACATTGTGTTACAGTATTCTTAGGCTGATTTAGCGATAGCTAAGGGCAATATATCATTTAATCCATAGATCTCTTTGTTTAAATTATGCAGTGTATTTCCCACATGTTGAATACATAAGTAATTATTTTATACAATGCATTCAATCCATTTTTTATTGGACAGTTCATGGTTATGTAATATATTGAATTAAGACTTTCAATTGTACACCTACTTACTTGTGAATGTATTTTATGCCAGAGTTTCTGCAGCCATCACCTTAAGTAATGGCTCTCTCCCAATTATAGTAAGATCATCTATTTAGAAGTGTACTGCATCAACCAAGAACCAGGAAATATGCCACAAAAGGGTCTTTCGGCAGCCAAAATAGATGCTACAAATGCAGGCTTCTGTTTTTACATCTAGCAGAGCCCTATGTGTGTTAAACAGCACGTATTTGCTTTTACTTTAATGTGCAACCCTGCCTAATTTGGTAGTCTGGTTTCTAAACCTGCAGCTGATTAATAATAGCAAATTAGAGAGGGATAGAGAAGCTGCTATGGGAAACATACTGATAGCAATGAGAAATGACAGCTGACAACTCGTCTACAAAAGAGAAAACAGAAAATCTATAAAACACACAACCTTAAAAAACATTAGCAGACCAGAACCCACAGTGTGATCAGTAAATGGCAAGGCAACCAGACAGTCCTTAAGGGTATCACCATATAATAGAGCAGAGTGCAATAATTGATGTACAAAATGATGATCTTATACCATCATGAAAAAGGGTCGACCGCAGAGTACTTCAGAAAAATTAGCTCTGTGGAACAGTTCATTTCATGGGGTTCTGGTAAACTGAGATTTTACGATATCCGTATAAACATTCAAAATTAGAAAATGATTATATAAATGGATCTTTTAAAATGATTAATTTATTGATAAGGCATCTATAAGGGAGACCTAAACATCCTGGGTACCTAATAAAAGTCACCTGGACATATATATCGATGATACTTTTTGACTTTCTTCTCAAAGATTTCAGAAGAGAGATGGCTTTAAGATTTAAAACTAGCTCGAACTTGCAGGGTCTCTTACTTAGTGGTTATTTTATCTTTATAGCCATGTAATTGTTCCTGGTGATGCAGAAAAAGGGCTGGCAAGTGTTCTCTGGACATTTTTGTACCGAAGGGGCTGTGTGTGTGCCTGTGCTTATTAATATGCCATTAAGAATAATCACTGTGAGAATTGTGAAGTTATATGCTGTGGATTTATTAGCAACATACCACCATAATACTTTGAAAATTTAATGTTTACTAAATACATTGAAACTAGCTTTGAAAGTAATTGTAAGTAAGCACACACAAGCACACCCTTATATTTTCATCATGGATAGAGAAAGTTTCCATTGGACTATTAGTAAAGGAAGACAAGACATTGTTTAGCTAGCATGAGGTCCCTTTTTTTTTTTTTCTTTTGCTGCTGCTATCATGGTCCGTTATTTGATTCTGGGCTCTGCATGCTGTCACATAATATAGAGTTGTTGAAATGGCTGCAGATTCTATACCCTGTGAATGAAACATACAGGTAACAGTTTTGTGAGCAAGGTTTTGGTAACACCGTGATGAGAGACATTGGCGCTAGGTTTAGGGAGAGTGAGATAATGATCCCATCTACTCGCTTACATACTCTTTTGGCTGTCTCTACTCAGATATATAATTATTACTTAAAAAATTTTATTCCTTATGACTACCTGTCTTCAGAAGTTTTTAATCTTTATTAATCTAGCTATCCTTGCTATTTGGAAATATTTTTGACCTCTTGTGGGTTGGACTTTTGGTTTGTTTTTCCCATTAATGATGATAGAATTGCATGGATTTAGCAACCCATAGGTTTCAAGTTTCATTTGTATCTAGTGGCATATGTTTGCAGAGGTAATGGATTTGCAGCCGTAGCGGATTGCAAAATCATGCGATACACAGAGAGGCCAGACCCTGTGACCTTGGCTTGATTAGCATGGCACTGTACACATGTATATTTCAGAGATTATTACATCTTAGTGTTGTGGATTCTTAGTGTGTTTAAATTTGATTTTCAAAACTTGCTCTTAAGGAAAACAACGTGCTTTAAGTGTATCGTTTGTGAGTACTGCCTAGGCATATGTGAGTGCAACATGTGTTAACTGTTAGTAATAGCCTCTGTGGTTGTTGGAGCAGACCCCATCAGCATTATTTATATAGCTCATGTTTAGAACAAGAACCTATAGCTTCGAATTCTGTGTCATGTGTTGTTTTTGAAATGAAACATAGATGTAAATACTGCCCAAATCGCCTCTGTTGAAGAGTTATTTGTTTTGCAAGTAACAAATGGGAAAGAGAAAGGCAAAGGGCACTGCTCTAAAATGTTGTGTGGGTGACTGGAATTTAAACTGATGCTACAGAAAGGAAGTATTATTTTTACAAACAAAACATAGTGGCTTAGTCATTTTCCATTTCTAGATGATGAATGTGTCATATATCTGTATCATGTTTTTCTCAAAGTGAATGGCATACTATTCTTAAAGTGAAGCAGCCTTTACTGTGGAGTTGCCAAGGTAACTGACCAGCAAGTATGCAGTTCAGCAGATTGCTGAAAGGCAATTGAGTACACATGAATAAAGAAATGTGCTTGTCATCTTCAAACCCAGGACGGCCATGGTAGATTGTGTCTTGGCTCTGTAGATCGCAGAAATATTTTTTGTAAAAGCAGAAACTGAGATGTTCTATGCAAGTTATTGAAGTGAGATGATATGGAGTGGCAGGTACCCTTTCTTTAATGGTTCCACTTCAGGACATGTGGAGGGCAATGTAGAAAATGGAATCATTTCAATATTATTTAATATGAACAACCTTTCATTTTGCTTTGTAAGCTAGCTTTTACCACCTTATAGCAGCAAACACTAAAGGAGACTATTTGTTTAGAATGTCAGTGAAGGATGATAATCTACAGGATGCTACCATTTCAGTATTATATAGATTTAGTTCACTAGTAGGAAAAAATTTGTGTTTGCCTCTGCTATACTTTGTATTACAATGCACTCATCCATTTCATAGGCATTGATACAATTATTCAAATATACCAGACTCTCTTCTAGCTGCCGAGAAAATGGCAAGGTAAATAAAATTTAGTGCTATACTTTGAGGTATTTTTAATCTCTAGAAAGAATAATTTAGATAATTAGATAAACTCCAAAGAGATTCCTTTAGATTATTTGAAATGTTCTCTGCTTTGGATGTAGAGTTATGATCCAGAATTTAAACACTTTGATATAGAGTGAAATGACTTCTTAGCAGGAGTTCAAAACTCTCCCTCTTTGACTCTTACTTTCTTTCCAGTTTTGCCTCCCCCTACCTTAAATTTACCCCAGGATCCAGCATTACTGGCTTAATTCCCTTTCCTGAAAGGCCCCCACAGTATCCAGTATTGTATCTTACATGTATGTTTACCGCTGAAATGCCCAAATTCCACATCTCTGAGTTTCAGAATCCTACTACTGTAGTACTTTAAGAGCCATATTGGATTCCACTTCTTCTTTAAATCTCTTCCAGATCTGTCCAACCTTAATTGCTCCTCCCATATTTTCAGGTGTTGCCAAAACAGTTTTACCTCTGGGATGATACCAAATTAGGTGGATGTTGGTCTCCCAAACCAGATAGTGAACTCCTAGAAAGCAGTGGCAGGGTCTCTTTCATCTTCATATTTCTCATGGCACCTCGCTTTCAGGGTACATTGTGGTATCAAACTGGTAAAAAAACAAAGGGTAAAATTCTCTTTACTATTTTTCTGTGATTCATCCATTCTTGTTTTGGGGACTGGGATTATTTCTGTTGGTAAGTACGTTGTTCTTGAGTAGAAGTTGGGTACTATAAATGCCACAAGAAAAATCACTTATGAATACTAGTACGAAACAACTCAGGAAAGAATAGGTCTCTCTACATCCTAGTTTAAACATAACTTGTAGCTTCCTTCCCTCTGTTACTCGGCCTTTGAAGTTGTGTTTTTAGGAGTAAAGCTGTAGAAATGTGAAGGTACAAGCCAAATATTTTAGCTCAGTTACCCCTTTTTTGGCAGCCATCTACAGAACTGCAGGGATAAGTTTTCACAGATAAAGAAACATTTTGTGGGAGTTTTTATTTTTGTGCTGAAAAATGTAGTGTCAGTGATCTTGCTATCCAAGGCTTTTAGTTAAGTTTTGAGCTTGGAGTGAGCAGCTTTGGGGTTCTTAAGGTTAGTTATAATATTTACAAATCCACCAATGACTTGAAAGAACTGGCCTGATAGGATTTATCTATCTAAAAATTACAGCCACTAGCCAATCAGGAAAATAAAAGCCCCAAAGAGATCGTAGAAGTGATGAGAGTAATGGCAATAGTATGTTAGTGCAGAAGATGCTAGCAGAGCAAAAACAATAGGTGGAAACTAATCAAAACAATTGGCCATTTTAATGTACTCACATGATAAGTCTTAAGTAACTGGTAAATCATGAAATTTGCTTATTTCACTTAAATAAATTATTTGGCCTGAATTTTATTATGTAATTGTTATTGCTTATTTAGGATGCAGCATAATAGAATAGATTCTATTGTTTGAATTATTAAATGTCAAGATCAGGCAAAATTGAATAAATCATTTCTAAGAGAGATATGAGGAACGAATACCAGAAAAAGCACCCAATGCATTTTTGTAAGTATTCATGAAAGCCACATTACATGTATTGATAGTGTTATATAGTCTGACATGTTTTATCTAGAAAACAATTAGTACAATATGAATTCTTACTACTTAAAAATTACTCTATGTACTTTGCTTTAAAGAAAAGAAAAGAAGAAAAAATCTGTAGCAATTATGTAGCTGGTGAGTTCTCATGATATATTTTGTTGATAATATCCAAGTAAAAAGAAATTACCAAAATGATATTACGGATGTCTTCATTATTTTGTCTATGTATGTGCCTAATTTTGTCTATATACTGTGTTTGAAAAGGCTCTAAACACAAATCCGGAGAATTTTTTCCCATTTTGTCCTGAAATCACTTCCATTTAAAACAATTGTTATTAACAGTTTCCATGCATGTTGCTTCAGTTTTTCCAGAAATGTCTACATAGTGAGGACCCCTCTTTATAAATGGTATAAGCTGAATTATCAAGGGCATATCTTATTATTTGTCTTTCTGTCACTTATCTTTCCTCTTTGTTTTCAGTGTACACTATTTTCTGCAAGGTACACTCCGATCGGAATGTATATCCATCAGCAGGTGTCCTCTTTGTTCATGTTTTGGAAAGAGAATATTTTAAGGGGGAATTTCCACCTTACCCCAAACCTGGTATGTTCTTTGTGAGGAAAAAAAAAGTAGTTAACTTACTAAATTTTTTGTTTAATTTGCATAATCCAGACAATATATGATAAAATATCATTAACATTATTTCAAATGGTCTGAATATGTGATAAATTGTAGGATAGTTCTCATTTTCAGATTAGAAATTTAATTTCAGACAAAAATTTATTTTTGAATTTTAAATAAAGCATATTTCTGGATTTTTAGTCTTGAATGTTATGTCTCTGAAAAGCAATCTACCTATATTCACATGGAAATAATTATAGCTGTAAACATAATTTTCCATATTAAGACCTAGATTCTCACATAGCACACTGATTTTTTGAAAACTATACATATGCTGTAGAGGAGAATAAAAAATGGCTCTAGGTAAGAATTTTTAAAAAGCTTTTATAATAGGAGGTAATTTTGTATAACTTCATAATATTATGGAGATTAATTTTTCCTTTTAAGCGATACCAGTTATGAAGTCTTATTTAATTCACTATTGGCTTAAATATGTTATTTTAAATGATCATAAATGTCATCAAATTAATGAAGATACACAAAGAATAGCAAGAGAAGACATATCATTATAACTCTTCCTTAAGAAGCAAATAAAAACGAATTTTTTGAAAATTATATTGTGTAAGAATATGTTTTTAGCATTAGAATTGATATAGCTATTCTTTTTGAAGATTACATGATGAATACTGTACCTGAAAACTCTTACAATATAGTTAGCCATATGCCTGATGGTATTCAAGAAGAAGAGGTAGTCTTTTCATCAATTTTTTTTTAAATGTTTTCTTATGAGGCATCCCACGTTTGCAAAACTATATGGCTCAACCTTTTGAGCAGTAGCTCTAACACTTTGGAAGAAAAGCATGTAGTTAAGAGCATAGTTTCTGGAGTCAGCCAGGATTAAATGCTATTACAGTTTCACCATTTAATATGACAATGGGGAATTAACTTAATGTGGAAAATTACATATTCCATCAATAAAATTAGGGCTAATACTAGTAGTAGGTTCATAGGTATGTGCGAAAATAGATGAAATAGGGCTTGTAAAACATTTAACACAGGGCTAGGGATTTGCTAATAAATGATGCTGTTATTGCTTGTTATTAATAAATGCTGCCATTAGTACACTTGTTATGGATTTGTAACATCTTTTTCATCCTATTCTCCAGTGTTTTAAAATTGCATTATTTTTGTTTTGATGATACTTTTAAATTTTGGAATATATTTAATTCTCATATGATAGTGTCCAGAGTTTCATGAATGGAGTATTTCTCAAAAGAATGAGTACATCAGCATGATTAGGGAATTTTCATGAAAGATAGTGGTCTTACTGGAAGAACTATCTCAAAAATATATGTCCAAGAAAATTGTATTAATCCACTTTCTTTGTTGCATCAGATTTTGAGACAAATAGACAACAAAAAGGATTTTTTTTAACATGGGGCTCTAATCTAAATTCTCAGATGGGTTTTGTATGTGTGTATTTAGTTGGCTACAAATGTAAGAAAATAATTTTAGAATGTTTTGATTGAAACTACCAAAGCAACATGTGTGAAAATAACTGTCTTATGTCTTAATTCTCTGTTTCTTATCTAGGCGAGATTAGTAATGATCCCATAACATTTAATACAAATTTAATGGGTTACCCAGACCGACCTGGATGGCTTCGATATATCCAAAGGACACCATATAGTGATGGAGTCCTATATGGGTCTCCAACATCTGAAAATGTGGGAAAACCAACAATCATTGAGGTAATTTACACCTGGAAAGAGCAAAACTGAGTGTGTGTGTGTGTGTGTGTGTGTGTGTGTGTGTATGTGTGTGTATTGTAATTTGAGTTTTAAGTGTTGAAATTAAAGTTCTCTGTGGTTTTTAATATTTTGTGCATGGAAGCACAGTAGATAACATTTGGAAATGTGCCATTCTTTTCTGCTTATCTATAAAGTTTTTGTATCAGCTTTTATATTAAAAATGACAGTCTAAATTGGTGGAAAAATTATGTTTAAAAGAAATAGTTATATGAATTATATTTGAGAAAATAATTGTAGACTTGATATACTTATTTGCTCTGTATTTTGAATTGAAGTTTTATGTTCATTGAAACATAACCATTCAACAGACATCTTACATAGCCCTACTATGTGCCAAGCATTGTCATAGGTGCTTAGGGATAGAATGATAAGTAACAGGTGAGTCTTGCTATGTCTTACCATTCAGGGGTTGGAGAACTGGGATGCAAACAATACTTAGCCAACACTATAATAACTGCTATAGTAAGAAGGTGCTGTTCGACACAGAGTTGTAAGAAGGTAAAGAATTTACTTCACAAAGTAGAAGGAGGGCCATCTTGGACAGAGGAAACAACACATCAAAATCTTGGAAGTATAAGAAAAGCCACATGGTCTCAGAGAACTATAAGTGTGGCTGGAATAAGATGTACCCCAGTAGGCAAATGATGGGAATGGGAGATGTTGATGTTGGTAGGAGCAGATCTTTGAGGGTTCTGTAAGCCATCCTGATGTGTTTAGCCTTTATTCTAGAAGTGATGGTGATGTTACCATTCATCAGGTCTTCACCAGCACCTAGCATCATACCTGGGAGATATAAGAAACTAAAACAGCAACAACAAAACAGTTGTTACATTGAATCTTTAGTGGGCATTCATATAATACTTAAAAAAATGAATGGATGTAAAAGCTAAAAGTCGCTTACTATTTATTGTACCCCCAAAAATAAGAATTATAATGTCAATTAATGACAGGAGAGTCCTACCATCGTTTTAGGTCTTGATGTCCCGAGAAACTTAGATTCTAATTTAACTGTCCAATCCCATAAGAATTTATCGGTGGTGACCAGGGCAACAGCATAGAAACTGCCAGTGGAATTGCTAGGAGCTTGTACAGGTCCCAGATGACATGTTGTCTATCAGTTACAAACTTTCAGAGGATTACATCTTATGAGTCTTTCCCCGACATTTTAGTCAGCTGTGAACTGTGGATATGAGCTTCCACATTGGCTACTAATTTGGAATTGAAGTTTGAATGAACTGTTCAGTGATTTCTATCTATAAATCTTATTCCTTAAGGCAGTATAGCTATAAGATAGAAATGTACTTAAAAGAAGCAAGTTAGTTTGAACTATTGTCCAATTAATTTTTTAAAATATTCAGAAAAAGCTATAAAAGAAATATGTAAATGCAGTTTACCACATTATCTGATTAAAGAAGGAGAAACAACATAATTGCCTTGATAGTTATGAAAAAGTGTTTACTACCTATTCATGATAAGAAAAAATAGCTCTTAGGAATAGAAGTAAACTTCCTTAATTTGCCAGGCTTTACCAACAGTAATAACGAACATCATTCTTTATAGTAAAATGTTAGAGAAATTTCATTTAAATTCAGGAACAAACAAGAATGACTCTGTCTGATAAATCTATTATAGAACATATTGGAAGTCTGAGCTAGTAAAGAAAGAAAAAGAAATTAAATCCATAATGATTAAAAAGAAGAAGTGGAAACCATCAATGATATAAATAGTCTATAGAATATTTAGAATCTTAGGAAAGGCTAGCAGTGAACTATGGGATCAATATGTTGTTACATTTCTATACATGAATAGCAAGTATTGAGAAAACACATGTTTTTAAAAATACTATTTTTAATAGCAGCAAAAATGTTGAGGAACTAGGAATAAATCTCACAGAATATATGCCAGGTCTCAAGTCTAGGTAGATTAAGGATTACGTGTAAAATGCAAAATTTTCAACAATTATATAAAATGTAGAAAAATCTCTTTCTGACCTACAGATAGGGAAAGATTTCTTAAGACCTAAATATTTTTATTTAAGAGAAAAAATTGATCAATTTAACTATATAAAATTTGTGAATGTCTGTTCATCAACCATTAAACCAGAGCATGATTTAAAATGACAAGTCACAAACTGGGAAAAGATATTTTTAATGCATATAGCTGACTAAGAGTATCTAAAATGAAAACTAAGTCCTGCAATTAAATAAGAAACAGACATTTAACTACAGAGGAGACACAAATGTCAATAAACTTAAGTAGCATACTCTTACGGGTAATGAAGAATATTCAGATTGAGATCACAATGAAAATTTTGCCATCAGTAAAATTTATTGCAGATGGATGTGGGAGTTGGCATCACGATTTTGGAAAGCAGTGCTGAGTATCTCATATAGTTGAGTATCCCTGTACCTTATGATCTGTCAGTCCTACTTCTAGCAATATGCTCCAAAGAAGTACTTGTGAATGCCCTCCTGGAGACACGTACAATCATGCTCATCAAGCAACATTTATATAGTACAACACCGGAAAGCCACAAAACAATAGAGATCCAAAAGTCTATCAGCAAGAGAATGCGTTAATCTTGGTCTATTCACAACAGTGAATGTTCAGAGCAACAATGAACTTAAGCTTGCCCAGCAATATGGATAAATGTTTTAAACACAATGTTTAATTTAAAAGAAAGTACTAGAAGACTACGTATAATAGTTTGCCATTTTGGTAGAACGCAAAAACAAGCAAACTAAACCATATGCTTTAAGCATTCACGTAATTATAATAAAACTGTATTTTAAATAAATGGATTGTTAAACACCAAATCCAAAATGACTACTTCTGGTTGGGGAGAGGCAAGGGCTTAGGCTAGGAGAGAAACACATATACGGAGGTGGTTTCATAAGAGTTCGTTATGAGTGCATTCATTATATACTTTAACATACAGTGTTGTGAATATGTATAAAAATATATTAAAACAGTAAAAATGAAAGTTTACCATATATTTCATATATTATAGTTATTTATCTGTAAATAGCTCATTTTTGCATTCATTTATAGTAACAGGAATGGTATTTTTAAATATTATTCTATTGTTAGTCAAGAATTTTCATATCTTAAATATATAATATTTAATCATATAAGTCTACTAATTCATTCAGTAGATATTTATCTGAAAATTTAGATTTTAAGTATCTGAAAATTTAGATTTTAAGTGTCTAAAATAGATTGGCTCTATTTTAGAAATTGGGAAATCAAATATAAAGCATGCACACATAGACACACAATACTCTTCTGCTTTGAAGATTTCACATCATCATTAGTAAAATCTGAGGATATTACAGCAGTTAAGTGTCTCATTGGAAGTTATAGAAGAACTACATTCTGTTATAGCTGTTAAAATAAGCATCAACTATAAAACCAGATAATAAAATTCTTCCTCCTGATACGAAATATTCTTTACTCCCTTCAATAGTCTGCATTATTTAAAAATAAAGACATTTATTGGAATTTATGAAACTTATAATAATGAAATTTGTGATGATTAAGGGAAGGTTAGCCATAAAAATATTGCTATTAATTTGAAAACATCTATTTCTTTTTCCTGAGCTGAAGCTTCATGATATTGTAACAAATAGGAGAGGGCTTATACTTTTTATTGAAAATGTGATTAAATTTTTTGCAGGGTAAAGGTTTAAACGATGAAGTTCCTCAAAATGTATTTTGCATTTTTCCTGTTTCATTTGAGCAAAAGCTCCTAGTTTGTTTAATGGCTAGTCTTAGTTTTAATGTTTGGTGTGAAATTAATTGATCATGTGTCCTAACAGATAGCAGCAAGGAAATAATTAAATTTGATGGAAATCTGACAAATCATGGAGAGAGAGGTTCTTTTAACTTTATGGAATTATATGCCTTTCAAAATATATACCTTTTAAACATTGTTAAAGTTTGGAATTATTTATTTCAAAATTCTTACTGTTCTCAGTATTTTCAATAACTGCACCTTACTTTTTTTTGACACTCATATGGGATGTATAAAAATCTTTGATACTTGTTTTAAAATGCACAGGAATATTTATTTTTAGTTGAAGTCAGTTTTATCCTACTCTTTTGTCTCAGTGTCACCTCAAGCTGCAATCATTGCCAGAAGTTTAGTGCTGGGATTCTAAGACTTGGACACAATCATTTTTTTTTTTTTTTTGAGGTACTGCAGATGTGTTCAAATGATTTAATATCTGTAACAGAGTTAAATAGTCCTTAAGTTTTGAAACGATATCCTGTTGTTGGCCTTTGCTTTGTGTGTTGTTTGTACTGGCTGTTTCTGAATTGACTTTGATGTAAGTCTATTGACTCTGCAAATGTTTACTAATATTTGACTGTTTGAAGGGATTGATTTGTGCTTTTGAGCATGTTCCATAAGCTTTATGGACTATGATCCTTACTACTTTACTCCCATCATAAGTGAGATGTGATTTCCAAAGGGTTATTTGTGCCATTTTTTGACTGATGGGTGTGCAGTTTAGTACTAAATGGAAAAAACACAAAGATGTGCTTGTTTTAAAGTGTACTTTCCATTGTAATTCTTAAACTCCATTTAAAAGTACAAAAATATATTTTTTATGTTTTTTTGAAATCTTAGAACATCACCAGTAAGTAATTCATAATGGTTAATCCATTTACTAATGATGCATCTGCGTTGCTACCAGAGCTTAATGGCCTTCTATGAAAGAGCCGTTCTGATTTTAACTTTTTGTTTCAGCACATTAAGTAGATCTGACTAATTATTTATTTCCCCACAATATTGCTAAAAGCTCTGAGCTCTCATTGCCCAGAGAAGGAATATATTGTAAGTATATCAACAAGTAATGAAAATGGAAAGAACAACAATTTGTTTTCATTTTAATCCTTAATGAATTTCATTTTACAAAGAATATTTCACTTCTTTAATATGGTTTTCCTTTTATAATAGATAACTGCCTACAATAGGCGCACCTTTGAGACTGCAAGGCATAATTTGATAATTAATATAATGTCTGCAGAAGGTAGGTATGAAAATATGTTGATGATCATTTCCTTATTTACAAGAAGTATTTCATTGTGTTTTAAACTATGTAAAATGTAGTTAAGAATTTTAAAATGCCACATACCTAATATAACTGATGAAATAAAAAGATGTAGAAAAGAAAAACTAAGCAATGTCTAATTTGTTATAAAGTATCATGGTGTGTTATGATGTTGAAAAGCTCAGATAGGACGCCAAACAGATAGGCCCCTTACTTCTCTAAGCCTTTTTCATCATCTTAAAATGGGATTAACAATAGCATTTCTCTCATAAGTATGGGGTAAGGATTCTACGAGTTAAGGCTTGAAATGTGTTTATCACAGAGCTGATCACAAAGTGCACAGTCAATAATTATTAGCTGTGATTGCAACACTACACTTTAGCCTAGGTGACAGAGCAAGACCCTGTCTCAAAAAAAAAAAAAAACCAAAAAAAAAAAAAAACCCTAGCTGGTTTTATTATTTTATTTAAAAATTTACTATAGGTAATAGTCTAAGCATATGTGATAATACAGAGTTGCTAAAAAACAGAAATAAACTATTATTTAAGGCTATCATTATAACAATATAACAAATAGTTATATAAACTGTAACAATTTTCTTCCAAAATAGTTCATAACATATTAGTAATTTGTAGAATCTATCAGCAATTTAAAGTTTCAGAATCTCAAATTGTGAGTGATTTCCTAAGAATTTTGAAGGTTAGGGATAAGGAAGTATTCCAAGAATTTTACTCTCAAATATTTTGACCGTTTTTTATCAGTTGACTGGGAAAATACCACCAAATACTTTGTAGTTAATTTTTTTTATTTTATTTTTTTAATTTGAGATGGAGTCTTGCTCTTGTCACCCAGGCTGGAGTACAATGGCGTGATCTCAGCTCACGGCAACTTCCACCTGCTGGTTCAGGCGATTCTTCCTGCCTCAGCCTCTGGAGTAGGTGGGATTATAGGTGCCCGTCACCACGCCTGGCTAATGTTTTATGTTTTTAGTTGAGACAGGGTTTCTTGTTGGCCAGGCTGGTCTCAAACTCCTGACCTGAGGTGATCCATCTGCCTTGGCCTCCCAAAGTGCTGGGATTATAGACATGACCCACTGCGCCCAGCCTGTAGTTAAGATTTATAAATCACAGAATTATCCTCCCTATGTTAGATATCATTTATGATGATGACAGGAGGGAAACTGATTCAGAATTTTTTTCCTCTCAAAACAAGAAAACAATTGTGCATTCTTGATTGGGGAATTTTTGCTTCTATTTACTAGTGCAACTACAAACAAACAAACAAGAAAATGTTTTGTTTAGACGGAGTTTCGCTCTTGTTTCCCAGACTCCAGACTGGAGTGCAATGGCACGATCTCAGCTCACCACAACCTCCACCTCCCAGGTTCAAGCAATTATTGTGCCTCAGACTCCCAAGTAGCTGGGATTACAGGCATGTGCCACCACGCCCAGCTAATTTTGTATTTTTAGTAGAGATGGGGTTTCTCCATGTTGGTCAGGCTGGTCATGAACTCCCGACCTCATGATCTGCCTGCCTCACCTCCCAAAATACTGGAATTACAGGTGTGACCCACCATGCCTGGCCAACACCAAACATTTTATCAGAACCTACTAATTTAGAATTCATAATAATGTAGTCAAGGCTGGGTTAAAAATTACTTTTATAGCATATGAAAGAAGGACTTTCTGTAAAATTAAACATACATATTGAGAAATTGCTTTAAGACTTAAACCCCTTTAAGTGAATATTTTTCCCCAGGTGTTTACCAGTATCAATTGTAGACAACAAATGTGCAAGTTTAAAATTTTAAATGACCTTCATATATGAAAAGCAAATCCAAGTGCCAGTTCTATGGGCCTGGACAGAAGACTCCCTGTCCACTCTCCCACTCCCTGAAGGCTTTTGGTAGGTATTTTTGTTTTTATCAGGGAGATTTTTGTTCTTGACTATAGTGGTGATTGGATTCTTGCATACTATCTAAGCTGCCCCTGTAGAATTGGAATATTCTTAATGAGCAGAATAATTGAAGAGTGTCCTTCCTCCTTGCGAATTCATCATTATAAAGTTATACTACAGTGGCTTTGGACCATCTCACCCCACTATTGTGCTCTCAAAGGGACTCAAAACTCTGTCAGGTGTGAGAGTCCCTGCAAACTGGAAGCTTGGTCTATAGTTTGAACTTCTTACTTCTCAAATCTAGTGTCAGTGCTACAGATACAGAGTACTCAAGGCATCTCAATATGTTGTTGACATATGGGGACCTGTGGTCAAGTAGATACTAATACAAAACTGCTAGACAACTGTAGGATTGGAAATTGGCAGCAGGGCTTTTCATCTAAATAAGGGGTTTGGAAAGTGTGCTAGTGAGAAGCAGTAGCAGACAGGTTTTAGAAGCCTCCACCTTTACCTCAGGCAGTGCTTGTTCCTCTGCTTTTTATGTAGGGTTCATGGCCCAAACCTATTTGAACCACTGCACTAAAGTCCATCCATTTGTCCTTGTTGGTCTAGACAGAAATGTATATGTGCAGTAGGATGTACATCTTTGAGCATGGCCTACACTCATGTTATTTATCCCAGATAAGATTTGGGAGAAGAAATAACAAAAGTTGTATATCAGGGTAATCATGCTCTGTCCAACTCCCTGCCCAGCTGTCTCCTGTTCTGAGAGACCTAATGGGAAATTAGTCGTGTAGACTCACACAGCATGAAGCTCAAGGAGAGTACATAAAGTGATTCTCTAAATTGGGTTTGGCGCCTCTGAGGCCTGCCACCAATCTGTTGGCCTACTGTTCTCTTGGCCTCTGTGATTTCCAAATATAGCAGGCATGGGATTTCCCCAGAGTTAGAAAGCTGCTGTGACTCATCTCTGGGAGGCCTGGCAGCAGCTCTTGGATGGGTAGACAGCAGGCAGCTGCCCAGCTCAGAGCCTCTGAGGGGTGTGGTGGCAACCACAGGCTTTGCAGCGAGTCTTAGAAAAGGAGCCATGAAGCGGGGTCACATGGAACAGGAAAAGTCAGATAGCAGTTCTCCAAAATGTAACACTGATAATAAGAAAAAAGTTTTACATACTTTTTAAGAAAACTGGATGTAAAAACACTGAATGAAATGAACAGATTTTAGACTTCTAGCATATTCAAAATCTGTATTTGATATTATTTATAAATATTTATTGCCATGAAACTTCATAACGTATTTCTGCATGACTGTTTCTGGGTATGTGGCTAAATGTAGCATGATTAAGCTATTAATTATCTGTATGAAACAGGAAATATATCTGTATAAAACAGGACATTTACTTGCATAAATGAGAATAAATACATTTTAGATTGCAGATGGGCTATACATTAAGCAAATCTAACAAAATTGTAGGCAGAACATGTGAGAATATAGAAGATAAGTAGAGAACTTTCTATGACTGGGCTTTGAAAAACTAAATCTTTAGAATGTGATGACAACACTCTAGAAAACTCTGTTGAAAATTCTGAAGTCATAGTTTCTTCCCTGACTTCATCTCAGGCATCAGATGTCCTTTAATATCAAAGACACTTCATAAGAAAGTTAATTAAGATTTCAGGTACTTAATGTAATTTTTATTTTTTGTTCATTAAATTGGAACAAAATTTTACAGATACATGAATTTTATTGAAATAAATGAGAGGATATACGTAGTGTAATTACTGCTGGGGACTTTAAATCTGTGTAACATCCAGAAACATTGCCTTGTACTTTTAAAGTACAAATTCAGATAATCAACCTTTTCATATTATTATAATAAGAGCTAACGTTTACTATTTTATAATCTCCTACTATGTGTTGGGAGCTCTGCTGAGCACTTTATATATGTAGCCTGTTTTAGCATAGATAAAAATCATATAAGGTAAGTTCACATTATGAGATAAGCTTCTGGACCTCTCAAGATAAGCTTTCACATATGAAAGTATAGAGAAAAATATAAGCAGCTACTCACCGTCTTGTTGTGAGAATTAAAGTTTGTAATTCACCTAAGTCCCCTATATTGGCCTGCCTCATAGTAAATATATTTAAAAAATTAACCTTTATTTTTACAGAAATATTATTAAATAAACAGAAAGCTATTCTTTATCTTAAGAATGTTCTCTATTAGAATACAGAGTGATGCTTTATAATTGAATAGTAGCATTTGAGTTACAAATGATATTTTTTTACAGTTTCTTCTATTGATAATTTGAATTTGACAAGGGGTTTTTCAGCAGTATTCATTGTAGGCTGGGTACAGGTACAGTGGCTCATGCCTGTAATCCCAGCTCTTTGGGAGACTGAGGCAGGTGGATCGCAAGTTCGAGACCAGCCTGTCCAATGTGGTGAAACCCCATCTCTACTAAAAAATACGAAAGTTTCCTGGGCATGGTGGTGCATGCCTGTAGTCCCAGCTACTTGGGAGGCTGAGGCAGGAGAATTACTTGAACCCAAGAGGCAGAGGTTGCAGTAAGCTGAGATCACACCACTGTACCCTAGCCTGGATGACAGAGTGAGACTGCATCTCAAAAAAAAAAAAAAAAAAAAGTTAATTATGAAATATTTAGAGGGAAATTTTGATGACACATTGGGGAAGAAAAAACATTAAATCTCCAACAGTGTGAAGTGGAATTACATGAGAACTTTATAATTGTTCTAGAATATTTAATTATAGTGTGATTAAAAACTGAAATTGTTCTGGTTTTTAGAATTCTTATTGATATATAATTGATATTTATTTCAGAAAAAAAGCAGTATTTTGGCATGCTCCCCAAAAGATCAGTAATGTAAATTTAAAATACAAATTTAGCTTTTCTTATTTCTTTTGGCCAAATTCTAGGATTATAAATTGCCCTGATGAGCCTGTGGTGAGCCTTGGATTTTATTATATTGTAGATAAAGTTCTGTGTCTGATGACTGTTATGTTTTTAGATACATCCTCTGTTATACAGAAAGCCTTTAAAGTCTGTATTAATATTACTCCCTGGTGCCACGATTATGACAGAATTCAACACATCGCAAATTGTTCTTTTGTTTCCCTTTTAAAAGACTGTTTCACTAAAGATATGCATATCCTTTTTCACCAAAATTAGACTTCCCATTGCCATATCAAGCAGAATTCTTCATTAAGAATATGAATGTAGAAGAAATGTTGGCCAGTGAGGTTCTTGGAGACTTTCTTGGGGCAGTGAAAAATGTGTGGCAGCCGGAGCGACTGAATGCCATAAACATCACATCGGCCCTAGACAGGGGTGGCAGGGTGCCACTTCCCATTAACGACCTGAAGGAGGGGTAAGCAGACCTTTATCTCATTGCGTTAAATATAAATTTTTAAATATGGTAATCTTACCAAACTGATTATAGATGAAAGATGGCCTATAGCATTTTTCTTTTTAATAAGAAATAGATACTGTAAAGATATGAGCATAGTAGTAATTTTCTATATTGACAAAGATGTTGTGTTAATGATTCTTTATATCTCAAGTTTCTCGTCTGGGAAATCTAATTGTAGATGAGGATCAGCATCATAACTTATAGCACTAAGTCTTTTGTACCGTCCATAAAGAAGCTGATTATTTAGGGCCACCAATTTCAAAGGAAATGGACATCCCAGTTATTAGCCGCAGAGGGATGCGCAGACTGCTGTAACTTTATTCTAGGAAACTATTTCTTCATCTTTAACATTCTTTCCACCATGTGTTGGTGACTGATGGCTGGGGTGGATTTGAAACCCATTCCTGTGACACAAAGGCCTAAAGCCTGACCTTGTCACTCACAAGCTGGGTGACACTGGGCAAACCCTGAACTCCTCTGTGCCTCAACTTCCTCATCCCATCCTGTAGAGATTATATTCTTCCTCAGAGTCGTTATAATGATTAAGTGAGATAATGTATTTGAAAGAGATTTTGTCAGTGCTTAAGCCGTGCAGATAAAAAGCATGACTTCTGTCCTTGTGGAGATCAAGAAACAATCCTGCCTGGGTAAAGTTATTATCAAGACAAACTTTGATTTTTAATTTTTAATCTGTGGGTTGAGGCAGATTTGCTTTTTCTCTCTCAATCCTATAAAAATACAATCTGTGGAATAAATCACATTTTGCATAGCATATTTCCGTTTCAACTTCTCCTTAACCCTTAATCCTGGAAACACTATTATACAGGTGATATCTGGAATTAGCTAGAATATCTGGGTCAGGAAGAATTAAATTTAAGGATAGTTTTAAAGGAGTACTATGTTGGAAATAAGGGAAAATATCACAAATAAACATGGATGCAGTCTGTGGGAGTAGGTAAAAGTCAAATGGGGAAAAGCAGTGAGCTATAAAATCCAACTTAAAAATTTCAGAATTAAATTTTATCTTCTGTATATAGCAATGGATTTTTGAGTCAGTCAAGCATACCTAGAAGTCCTTTGAGGAAAATAGTTGCTTTACTTCTTGTCTATGTGCTGGTTGGCTTTCCATATGAAAACATAATTCTAGAGCTTAAATTTTCACTTCATAGTTACAACATGGTTCTCTTTCCTATAAAGTAATTAAAGTAGAACCATGGAATGAGATGAATGGGGATATCTTCTCTAAAGGCATTCTCCAAATATGGAGGTTTTTAAACAATTTTCTTAAGGTAGTGTATTCCACAATTGTTAAAACAATGACCAAAAAAATGTTGGAGGAAACAGCACAAAAACAAGGCATTGGTAGAGTTTTTCATTGTTGTGCTTTATTCTGATCTCACTTTTTCTCCAATTAGTAGTACAGGTCCCACTTGTTGAGGTACTTTTAGAACCTGAACTAAACTAAATTGAACCAAGCAACTTCCTAAACCAAACTGTGACCTAAAGCACTGCTTTCCAACTATGTCTAGCCTGAGAATTGCCAATAGAACATTACTAAAAATACAGATAGGTTCCTGGCCTTTGATTCCCTCTAGAGACTGATTCTTTGAGCCTAGGGCTGGGCCTGAGCATGTAACTCTATATTAAGAACAGAATATTTGTCCTACAAGTACTTGTTTGAGAATTCAATCACTAACTGACTGACCCCAGCACCTGCTAGAGGGTGGCACATGCTGTCACATATTTGAGAGAATCAGTCCTGTGGCATTTATTTGGACTCTTGTTTCAGATCCCTTCCCAACTAGAAATGCTTTCCATAAGTTTTAATTTAATGTTAAGCCTTAACCTTTACAAAATATTCACATGAGGAGTCTTTTAAAATAGCATTTCTATAAATTGTACACAATGCCAACTCTATTACTCCAGTGTCCGTATGCAAACACTCATAAAATAAAATCCTACTTGAGTTATAATTTGAAAAGTTTGTCCCCGCAAATGATTTTGCATGTTTTCTTTAGATGTTATATAATAGCATGGCAATTGAAACAGTTTTTTAGCCCTGTTGCCTTAAATTTAGAAAAAATCCAAGGCTTAACTAGTACTTTCTTTCCTTTTTAATGGTGTATATCATGATTTTTAATTCACTTTCTGTCTTTGTATTTTCTTTTGAAAATATCAGGTTCTATGAATCCTTTAAAAATGAAATATTGAAAAGATCAAGAAGTAGGGTCAGAGCTAGCAAAGGAATTATATCCCTTTCAAAATTTTTTATTAAAAAATATATTCATACACTTCAGAAGTATTAACTAAGCACCTCATAAATGTGTTCTGTTTAATACTTAGCATAAGTTTTAGTCCCAGATTTAAATTTAAAAAAAGATCTCCATGAAATGATTTCCTAAACAGCAGATAACCAAGAGTATCCCTCATTAGTAGATCCTCAGAGTAAATCTACTACCCTTCTACTGCCTAAAGTGTCATTAAATGTCCATCCCCAAGAGCCCAACATGCAGCATCTTGACTCCTCATCCTTCTTGATGAGCATTTGTTTTTTATTCTCTGCAGAACTCACTGTCAGCTTTCAAACTTCTAAATCAAACAGAAAATGATTATAAAGATTTACTTCAAAGTACATAAGCTTCTGCAAAGGAAGGCTGAGTCCTCTGAAAAGATTCATTTTCACTTGCCAGACCCATAACCCCAGGGTAACTGTGCTGTCTCTGGGCATGGTCTTGGTGCTACTTTTGCTCCTGATGCTGAGCCAGAGGCTAAGGACTCATGGTTGTATTTAGCCTGGGATAAAGCTACTGGAAAGAAGAGCAGGTTCGTATTTCATTCCAGGCATGTCATGGCTGCCAACTACAGGCGAGTGATGTAGTGTAAATGGTGGCTATGAAGGGAATGATGGGGTGTGAGGATTAAAGAATATACTCACTTTTCCTAAGAGATTGTCAAACCTACCACTATTTCCTCTGGTTACCAAAGCATGTGGATCTAGCCTCAATCAACAACAGAGAATCCTGGTTTATTCTCTAGACCATCTCACAAAGTACTCCCTCTGATTGTCTGCTTTTTGCTGTATGTGAGAGGCCTCAGTGAGAAGTTATACTTGAGGAAAAGAATGAAAGTCAATGGCTGCCCAATATTGGTCTGATGGAAAGTCATGATCCTGGGCCAATCCATCTATGGTAACTTACAGAATTGCCCTTTATTCTTAAATGATGTCCCTTTTGTAATTTTGGAACAAATATCCTTTCTTTTATTGAATAGTGGTGATACAGGAATTTTCAAAAGTGCCTTTAATAAACTAAAATTGGAAACCTTTATGAGTCCATTTTCATAACAAAAAGCAAATGAAGTCAATGCAACTATATGTTTAATATCTACTCTTCTATCATTTTTTCTTTCATAGTTTAAGGTTTATTCAGTATTTTTTTTTTTTTTTTTTTTTTGAGACGGAGTTTCGCTCTTGTTACCCAGGCTGGAGTGCAATGGCGCGATCTCGGCTCACCGCAACCTCCGCCTCCCAGGTTCAGGCAATTCTCCTGCCTCAGCCTCCTGAGTAGCTGGGATTACAGGCACGCACCACCATGCCCAGCTATGTTTTGTATTTTTTTAGTAGAGACGGGGTTTCACCATGTTGACCAGGATGGTCTCGATCTCTCGACCTTGTGATCCACCCGCCTCGGCCTCCCAAAGTGCTGGGATTACAGGCTTGAGCCACCGCGCCCGGCCTATTCAGTATTTTTTTAATGGGAGAATATTTTGTTAGTTTCTGGAGTACAGTGATTTTAAAAACACAATCTAGGTTGCAATCTACTGGGAGTAGGCAAATAATCAGATAATTAATATCAGTACAACAGTTGTGGTTTTAAGTACCACAATTGAGGCATCACAGAGAGAGCTCCTCTCTCACTACAGGGCTATGCCTGGAAAAGGTTTATAAAGGAGATGAAGCCTGATCTGAGTTGAAAATATGGGTATAAATTAGCCTCCTGAGAAGAAGAGAAATGGGAATGCTGCATGGGTAAGGGCTTGGGCGAGTCCCTTAAGTAGGAGAGAGCATGTTGGATTCAGAAATCTACTTAGTGTGGAAATGGAGAAAGAGATCCAGAAGTGAGTTATGAAATGGGCAAAGACCAGACCATCTAAAACCTTGTCTTCTGGGAAAAGTTATTTGGATTTTATCCTGAAGCATTAGGGACCTATGAAGAAAATGGTTGATACTTAAGTTTTTGTTTTAGAGAGATCACACTCGTAGAATAAGGAAGACTGAAAGGAGGAAATGCTGTGTGGATATAGGTGCTGGGATTTTAGGAGACCCAATAGCATCCATTTTCCCCTGCCAGAGAAACATGAACAAGAGGAACATGAACACACGATAAAATTCTTTTAGAATTTAGTGCCACTGAAACATTTGGGTCTCTAAGGAATAGTCATGCTTTCCCCTCTCTAATGATCAGAATGGTGACATTTACTGTGTGTATTTTTTTCTTTAATTTCAATTTGGGAACAAGAAAATTCAGTGCCAAATGCAGTGCTCTGGTTTGCAACAGAATTATTAGTCCTGTCAAGTTTTCAATGTTTTCCTAATTTTGGGTGACTTTTTCATTTTTTAATATGTGTTTTGCTATAATCCCATGCATCTTTCATTCTTTATTTTTCATCTTATTTTTTGATTGATTAATTGCAGATATGTACATAAAAAAAGTGAGGTGGGGGAAAAGCCAGGAAGTGCAGTGCTGCTGCTTTTGAGAGTTCAGCAGTTTCCAGGCAACATGTAATATATATGGACACATTTTTCTCTAAACGGTCTTTTTTCTTCTATACACATAAAATAACAAAATATATTCATTAATTGGACAATTAGGAAAAAATACAATCATCAGATACATTTATTTGGCTAGTGCTAAAAGGCAGAATTTTGGCTTAAATTATTTACCATTACTTGTTTCTTT